AAACCATAGCATCTTCATTACATTATGGTTGATTACAGTTAAAAATATACAATTGGATAAAATATATTTTTAATTCCTAAATTATGCACTATATGTCGGTTTAATTCTCAATCTTTTAATTTTGTCAATTTGATCTCTCAACTTTTTAATTTGTATCACTTTGGTCCAATCAAAAACGATAATTGAAATTTTTAACGGAAATCATCATGTGTATCTCACATGATCACACTTAATACATATTCTTTGAAAATTTTAGGGACTAAAATGACACAATAAACTTGAATGACCAAAATGAGAAAAGTTACAAATTTAAAGAACCAAGGTGACCCTTCAACGCCAGTAGTCGAACCACACGTGACAAACCATATGCTTCCGTAAGCAACAACCGGCACACAATATACATATTGCGCTTGTCATTGATTCACAAATGTCGCAATCTAACCCTTTTTTTTTTTTTTTGTTTTTATTCTATCAAAACACCTAGTTTAGAGACATCTAAGGCGTAGTTTCTAGAAGACTGCACAGCCTAAAAACAGAGAAGATTAATCGGACAAATGTAGAGTGATACCAGCGTGGGTGGAGATGAACAATAAAAATATTCTTTGGGAGCAAAAGAAACAAGACTACATAAACATAGGACAAACATAAGCGTTATGCCGATAGCATGATGATGACTTTATTGCAAACATACCACTGTCTTAGATAATATAAGCTGAAATTTCACATTGGTTAAGACAAGATGTTTAGATTGATTAATAAGTTTTCATCCAATCGTTCAAAAGTTAGGCCTTTTTAAATGTAGTGCTTGGACCTGGGCTTGTTGGTATTCTTGAACTCTTGCGACTACAGTATGAAAACTTAAACCATTATCAAATTTTTATATTTATTATTACTATCATCATCATTCCAACGTCACCATCGTCACCACCATTGTCGCTGCCCACCACCACTGCCAACCACAACCACCCACTACTATACACCAACCATCACCTGCCCCCAGGGGCGAAACCAAAATCCATTTCCAGTAGGGGCAATCATCAAGTTCAAAGGAATAATTGAAGAACAATCATCAAAATTTGTTGTGTCTTACAAATATGAGTGTTTTGTCATTTACACTATTTATAAAGTAATTTTTCATGGTAATTTTTTGCTTTGCTACTTAAAAGTTTGTCACGCATAAATTACACATAAAAAGATATAACTTAATTAAGAAGAATTATATGAAAGTTATTTTATAGAAAGTACTAGTAATAGAATAATTTTCATAGAAAATGTTATTTTAACAAATTATTTTGTAAACAATTATAAATAGACATGTCAATCATCAAATTTTGAATGATTCAAATCCAAGTTCGATTTGAAAATTCCATTTTCAATATGATCTGATTATCCATCAGATTTCGTTTTTACAATTCATATCTATATTCATATCCATTAAATATTAAAAAATTGATCGAAAACTAAATCTTATATATACGTGTGTGTGCATGTGTAATTATGTCAAATTTTGATATTTCTAAATCTAAATTCTTGAAACATAATAGCATATTCGAACTTGGATAATTAATTAAGCATATCAATCCATATCTAGATAATCGAGTTTAGAGGAGGATGAGTTTGGTAACTTAATGTGTCATTGTAGAAAAAAGAGAAAAAAGTAGAGAGTAAAAAAAGAATAGTGAGATTAAGTCTCACAAACTTTAAAAAAAAATTAGTGGGGAAAAATATTGAAAAGTTTAATTTTTTTGTATTTTTAAAGTAGGCCCAAAAATTTTCAAAATCTTAGTGGGGGCAATTGCCCCCACCCTACCTCTGCCCTTGCCTGCCCTCCACCATCACCAGCCAACCACTACCACCTACAACCACCCACCATCGTCGCCAACTACCACCAATTCCCATCACCACCAGTATCCACTGTCCTCACCACCACCATCGTCACTAACCACTACTATCCACCATCGTCGCCAAGACCACCACAAATAAAAAATAATGAAAAACTAGTCCATCATCACCCACCATCGCCGCCAACCACAACCACCATCACCTGCAATCATCATCACCCATCGCCACCACTAACACCCACCATCGTTGCCAACCACAACCACCGACAATCACCACCACTCACCATCGCTATCAACCAATACCACCCTTCATGCAAAACTCACAACTACCATCCAAAACTCACCACCACTCATCAACTGTCGTCAACTACCACCACCCACCATTGTTGCTAGGGGCGGAGCCAAAACGTTATTTTAGGGTGGGCATTGTATATATTAACAAACTTAATTTTTTTCTTATAATTGATAAAAATAGTATAATGCATTTATATTTAATTCTTAAAATTTCATTAAACTTAAAAGACTAAAATTGCTAAGCATAGTAGATACAAATGACAATAAAAAAAAATGCTAATTATATCATTTTTTCAGACAAAGGCTAATCAAAACTATTTAGAATTGATTTCGATAAATTTTTATACGTTGAAAGTCTTGCATTGACTTTATTATTATTTATATCCACAATCACATTATCAATTAATTATTTATCATTCATTCGATTACACAATAAAACATATTATCTATCACATCAGTGATAATTACTAAAATAAATGTTAAAATTATAAGTAAATTCATGGATATACCATACCTTTTCTAGTTTTGATCAAAAAATAGGGAGGATACAATTTACTATATTGAAAAAATACTTAGAATATATATAAATAATTTTAAAAAAAAATTGAGGGTAAGCATATGCTCCCCAGGGCATAAGGTGGCTCCGCCCGTGACTGTCGCCAACCACCACCACCCACCCAAAACAATAAAAAATTAGCCCACCACCCACCCAAAACAATAAAAAATTAGCCTACCACCCACCACCACCTCTATCACCCACAACCCATAACCACCACCACCGATATCCATCCATCATTCCCACCACCACCACCGATCACCATCCACTACCTAAAAAAATAAAAAACAAACTCATCACCAAAATAGTAAAAAATTAACTCACCACTAAACATTACCGCCAACCACCAACATCACCCACCCACCGTCCCCACTACTACTAACCACCATCACCACCACCCAAAATAATAAAAAATTAGCCTATCATCCACCACGCAAAACAGTAAAAAACTAACCCACCACCAACCATCGTCGCGAACCACCACAAACATCACCTCCACCCACACCCACCAACCATCTTCACTGCCACCAACCACCATCATCACCACCCACTATCCATAATAGTAAAAAAAATTAGACTACCACTCATAACAGTAAAAAACTAACCTACAATCCAAAACAGTAAAAACTAACCCACCACCACCCACTACCGCCATCAACCATCGTCGCCAATCACCACCACCCATCATCACCGCCAACCAACACCACCCACCATCACCGCCAACCAACACCACCCACCACCCATCACTCAAAATAGTGAAAAACGGAAAACTTAAAATAGTGAACTCAAAAACAGTAAAAATAATGAAATTTAACAGATTGAGCCTCCTAATTCAAAATATTTTCACAAACAATGAACTTTAATGGAATGAAACTTTTAATTCAATATTCAAAATTTTTATAAATAGTGAACTTAAAAAACATTGAAAATTTAAATTGAAAAATATATAGATAATAGTGAACTTAAAAAATAATGATGAAAATATAAACGATAAACTCCAAACGGTGTGAATTCAATACAATGAACTAAACATAGTGAACAACTACCACCACCCGTTACTGCCACCAACCACCGCCACCAAAGACTCACAACCCAAAACAGTAAAAAAATTAGTAAACTCAAAAATATAAAAATTAAACATAAACAATAAACTTTAATATAATAAAACTCTTAATTCACAAAAATTTTATACATAGTAAATTTAATAGAATGAAACTCTTAGTTCACAAAATTTTCACAAATAGTAAAATTTAATAGAATGAAACTTCTAATTCACTGTCCAAAATTTTTACAAACAATGAACTAAATATAGTGAACAACCACCATCGCCGCCTACCACCACCCTTCACCGTCACCTTCGCCACTAACCACCACCACTCAAACCAACGAAGAACTAGTAAACTTAAAAATATTGAAAAAAATATAAAAATTAAACTTTAATATAATGAAACTCTTAGTTCACAAAATTTTCACAGACAATGAAATTTAATAGAATGAAACTCTTAATTTACTTTTCAAACTTTTTATAACTAGTGAACAAAAAAATATTGAAAACTTGAATCGAAAAATATACTTCAAAAACAATAAACTCAAAAGAATATTGAAACTTCGAATTGAAAAACATATATAAAAAACAATGAATCCATGCTTTTTTTGCCCTTCAGATGCTGTAGCTATTCGTAATTTGTTCTTAGGGGTCCCTCTGTGTACTGAAGTTATTCTATTCTCTGAGATTCAGAAAAAACCAAGAATTCTTGTTTTATATTCCATCCGCCAAGGCTGTTTTAAAGACCTTTTTACATAATAAAATGCTCATTTCATATACGAAAAAAAATAATTGATACCGATAAGTTATGTCGAAGGTAAAAAGAGTTCATGCAACTAAATCGTAGAGAGAGAGGGAGAGAGAGAGAATCCATAGAGATTGTTTGTTAAAACATAGAAACACAATCGAAAGTCGAAACATAATATTTGCTTTTCTTTAATTTCTCCCAATCATGTGGTGGAGGAGTTCATCTTCATAGATCTTCCACTAATTTGCAGCTAATAAAAATTCACACTGATCTATAAGGTTGAAGATATGGTAAACAACACTAGACCCATTAATCAATACCTCCAGTTCAAGACCAAAGCCACAACAACAAAAACAACTACAATGAGATCTCCATTGCCTGTCAACCGGTGCACAATCATTAAATCCCAAAATAAGAACACAAAAAAGGCATCCACTACAAAACAAAGGAAAAGCAATCATTCTTGTGCATTGTTTTGGGGGGGGGGGGGGTAAATAACATTGATAGTGTATGAGACTGCCATCATAGTGGTTGTTTGGAGAGAGTCAGAGATATGCCGCTTTATTCGAAATATAGAGAGGTGGTTTTCCCGAAGAAAAACAATACTAGTTTAAGGAAAGGGAACCAACAAGGGTGTCTCTTGCTGGGGAAGAAGAAAACCATCACTGGTTCAAGACAACATGTTTTTGAGGGCATGTCCAATAGTTGGATTGGTTGTGGTGTAACCCCCATCAACAACAAGATTCAGGCCACTCACATACTTAGACTCGTCACTTCCGAGGTACACCGCCGCCTCGGCCACGTCTTCAGCCCCCAACATCACTTCCTTCAAATTCGCCGATTCGGAAACCACCTCCTTTGCCGTCTGCTCATCCTTCAGTCCAAGCTGTTTTATCATCAAAGGGGTAGGCACTGCAAATGGAGAGATGCAATTGACTCTGATTCCATATTGCCCCAATTCGACGCATAAGTTCTGGGTGAGTCCTACCACGGCATGCTTCGAGGCTTTGTAGGCATGAGGGACAAAACCAGAAGACACAGAAGCCGTGCTTGCGGTGAATAAAATGCTGCCTTTCTTTGCAGGAATCATAACCCGTGCAGCATGTTTGGCACCCAATAATGCACCAAACACATTAACATCAAAAACCTTATGGAAATCGTCAAGATCCAATGCCATGATTCTTGGATCCATGTTGCCTGAGATGCCAGCATTGTTGAACATTATATCAAGCTTACCATGCTTGGCAACAGCAGTGTCCACTGCTGTCTGGACATCCAATTCTTGTGTAACGTCGCAATGGACGAAGGATATTGATTCATCGGAGCCAATTTCTTTGCAGAGGTTATGGCCAAGGTCATCTTGGATGTCGGCAATAACGACCTTCGCACCGTGTCTAGCGAAAAGCCTTGCAGTACTCTCACCAATGCCGCTAGCACCGCCAGTAATCACAGCCACCTTGCCTAGTAGCCTGCAAAATCAGTGGACTGGATATCTCAGTTTTTGGCCTATGTTTAATGTGAAGATCAAAGAAGGCGAAAGGAGCTTGTAGATGGATTAGAAATCAATAGGAGCTTACCGTTTCATCATGCTTTGTTGCAAATAAATGAGAAACTTTGATAGACTGATCTGATTTTATAGCCAACTTGGCCAAATAATAAAAACTAGAGTTAGGCCATGTATAATGGGAAATTTTCACTTTAGCCCTCGTCTACAAACTTTAAGCAAAATCAAATCTTGATGTAAAAGGAGAAAATGACCTTTTAATGTTTTTGAATGACAAAAATATCTTCTCTTCTTCATCATCTAATTAAATTTGCCCTTAATTAAATGGTTGACTTATAACATGCATGATGGTATCATGGGTGTAAGGTGATATCTCCAATCGTCGATTTCTAACATGCACATGGTATCATAGGCATAAGGTGAAATTTGCTCATAGTCAACCAAAGCTGGTAGCATTGACTTCTAACAAACTTGTAGATTTAGTACAAGGAAGATTCCTCTTGTTATGGTTTGATGGATCTCTCAACCTAATCCTATTGTTTTCTTTCTTTTATTTATTCCTCAAAAGCCCTTTGTTTAGAGACAACTACATTATTAATTTCTACAAGACTGCGTATGCACATGTTATTATATATCTCTCTACTCTACTTTGTATTCAGATATGCAACTTGTGAGTCTTCGTTTGTCTCTATATTGGACTGGTCGTGCTGTCTCCATTTTCCCCAACTAACGGATTGTGTATTAATTATATCAATATTATACAAAAGGATATGGTGTGATACAAAAGGATAGGAGGTCCCCCTTCAATTCACGGTTGGTGACGTCTCATTCATAAAACTTGGATAATGCTTTAGAGGGATTCAAATATCAGAAAACCAGTTTGCATTAAACAGGAAGCATACCGTGTATCTCGTTCGTGGCTTTTTTTTTTTGGGTTTTCACCAAGGAAAGAGAATGATCCTTTCAGTAGACTCACCGTTGCCAGTTTGGCACCACCAGTAATCGCACTCTGCCACCTTACCTTCTGCCCTGCAAAATAAAGAAGTTTCTTTCTTTCTTTGCTGAGATTATATCAGTGTTACGTCCAGAACAATTGACACTTTGGCAAGACAATCCAGGAAAGGGGTGACAGCAAGGAAGACTGTAAAATATAATTTAAATTATGCGGACTACAACTTTTATATGTGTAGACCTGGTTCCTCTTCAAAGGCATCAGTTACTGAACTTCGAGGGGCTCTCTCTGTTGGTACTCCTCTGTAGATGGACGGCTGAGAAAAGGAGGCAGAAGACAGTAGTTTTAGGGTTTGGTTATTATGTGTGAAAAGACAAGTTGCCCCTTGTTGTGAAACCAAGAGATACAAGTTGGCCCAAATGTGACATTCATTTTTTAAGTTCAGGGCCTCTGGATCTCAGATTCAATGTGACATTTTTTAAGTTCCACCCAATGGTGATCGTGGCTCTGCATTTTCTTTGGTCATCCTTGTCAAGGTTCTAACTTCTCTTTTTTGCTCTAGAAGCTGTTCAGTTGTGTCTTTTTTGTCTAAAAGTTAAGTGCTCTTTTGTTAGCATAGTTTTTTACCCCTTTCTTTCTAACTTCTTTTCCTGAATGAGCACGATACTATACAAATCCACATATACAATTTATAACTTCAAAGCAAACTAGTAATACATTTCTTAGGGGCTGCTATAATGCAGTGGGGGAGGGGGTTTGGAGTATCTTCCAAAACAACCAAGAGAGATACTCTGATGAATCTCTAAGTCTAACAAGTTGGCTAGTGCATAAACTAAAAATGTATGTGAAAAAACCTATCCCACATGGAAAAATTAAGTAAATCCAAGGTTAGTTTATGTACTAGAAGGGTTACTCTATCTATTCCCGATTGGTTGGTTTTGAGTTGGATGTTCTAAAATTGTATAAGAGTTGGAGCTTGGGTTGTAAGTGGGTCAGACCTCTTATTCAATTAAGTTTCTGTCAGTTTTGGCTCAATCTCCACGTTTTGAGTTGCATGCTAAGGAGGGTGTAAAAATAGCTATATCACATCAAACGCTGAAGGTTGGCTTATATTTTTGAGAGGCCACCTCTCCCATTGCCAATTGATTTTGATTGGATGCTCTATTAGTGTAAAATGGCCACTAGTCTTCGGCTCAATTATCTGATGCTCTAATGCCAATGGTTAGCAGGAGTGGGAGGGGCATCCACAAAGGCATGTAACTCATACTAAAAAAAGGACCAATAAAGGGTAGTGGAAACTGATTCCTATGAAACGCTCGGGAAGAAGTCCACCCATATAGAGGACTGGTTGCTAATTGGTAATATAAGATTAGAGCAATTCACATCCCAATCCTACACAGTCTACACAAGCGGAGTCAATGTGCTGACAGACTTGTTGATCATGGTGAACAACAAATGGAGAGTTTTGTGGAACCTGAGACACCCCCAGCTACTGCGGGTTTTATAACAAAGGGGATTTTCCATCATTTTGGTTAGTAATTCAGAGACAAATATGGTTGTGTTGGAACTTTTGGAAATACTGTCTTCTACTAGTAAAGAACGTATGTGATTTCTGTTTCCAAGAGTGAGATAAAGTACTTCATGAACCCTGTCAACTAGTTTTGGTTTCTTCTAGTATCTGGCCATTTCAATATATTCCCTACATAAGCTACTGATTCAATCTTTAAGATTTGAACCAGCAGTTGGCTCATCCCATATGGAGCACTCAGTTCGTTAATTTTTCAGAGTGCCAGGGATTTGATGCATACATGTTCAAGGTTTGCAGGTGATTTCAGTCAGACATAAAACTGAAGAAGGAAAAATAAAAATTCCATTCGTCATGATGTCGCTTCTTTTGCTCCATTCTTTCCAACAATCATCATTGATAAAAAAAAAAAAAAAAGAGACAAAGTATGCATGACATTCTTCCAATTTTGAAATAGAATGACAGAATTCCTTTTATAAACTACAACTTCAACACGTGGAGCATACCATGCGTGTTGATTGTGGCGTCCACTGCAATTTAGATGTCAGTCATTAGTAATGTCACAATGGAAAAAGGCAATTGCTTCATTGCAGCCAATATCTTCACATAAGGAGGGACCAAGAGCATCCTGGTATGGACAACGATGATTTTGGCATCCAGTTGGGCAAACTAGCCTTCCCATTCTTTCTCCAAGACCACTGGCGCTGCCAGTTATCAATGCCACCTCCATCCTGGTCATCACTCAGGTTCGGGTCTATTAGCGGTGACAATTTTACTCTAGCCTGCAAAACTATTATTAAAGTTATTAAGTTCTATGTTATGGGGTTGAAGGAAACGAAAAGGCCTGCTACGGGGAAAAGACATTGTTAATGCTAACCTTTTGGCTATTGGAATTACAGGGGAGGGAAGAGCATTCCATCTTGTTCAGCTTATTGTTTCATTTAAATAAGAATTCTTGAGGAAACTCTTCTAATTCTTCCAGATACACAGAGATTATGCAAATGGTGAAATGTTGAACCTGACATGTAGAAAATCAAATGCAGATTCATGAATGCCACAACTCTCTCCCTCTCTCTCTGCAGCTAAATCTACATTTCAACATGTAGAAGCTTGAATTGGTTCAAACCCAAGTGGGTTATTATAGAAGGCTAGATAAATCACTTGAAACCTCCTACACAGAAGCTGCTAAAAAATAGTCCTATATGAACAATCCACATTTAATTTCATATTTGGGTGACTCAATTGTGACTGAACCAATTTCAAGAGAAAAACCCAAATACCCCACAGTGAAATCTTCTCAAATTAAAGAAAAACCAGGAAAGTAAATAGTTGGAAGCAGTTGACGTTTGGTAATTACATTTTTTTTTTCATTTTATGGAAAAAATAAAAATAAAAATAAAAACATATTTGGTGAATGTTTTTGTTTTTTTTTTAAATTGTTATGTTTTAAAAATAATACCAAAATATTAAAAACATTCAAAAAGATATTTTTGAAAACATCAAAAACCAAAAACAGGCGGACAGTCTAATCCATTTTAACGAGGTCTGGATTTTGAACCCACTCCATAACAAAATAATGGGTTATTTTTCTTACCCTATAAATTGCCAAGAACTCCCCTCTCTCGGCCGAAGAACCTCACAACATATGCAAAAATCTTCTACAGCTCCTCCAAGGCAGACGAAGCTCCTCCAGTTCCAGCGATCTCTACAACTTTGGCAAAGATCTCCATCTCTCTCTTATTCTCTCTCTCTCTTCCTCTCTTGCCCCTCTCTGTTTTGGTGGTGGTTATGGGGTTTTGGGGTCGTGGTGGGTTTCAAGGGTAAAAGGCACCAATAGTTCCTAAAATTTTAAACATATTATATTTTTGTCCTTAAATTTTTAATTTCGTCAATTTCATTTACACATCGATCCATTTGGTCATTACCCTTAATTTCCGTCAAAAAATCGAACGAAAAATATCATATGTCAAGCACATGATGGTGTTAAGGGACATTTTAATCATTATATTCTCAAAACTTTGGACATTTTAGTCATTGCCCTCTCTCTTCTCCGACCCATCTCTCCTTCTCCGGCCTACGACCAACCCATTTCTCTCTCTCCTTCTCCAGCCAGCGACCAACCCATCTCTCTATCTCCTTCTCCAGCCATCGACCACCCACCACCGCTGGAATCAAGCGCCACCACCCACCATCGTTGGAATCGAGCGCCACTATCCACCACCGTTGGAATCGAGATCCACCACCCACCACTTCTGGAATCGAGCTCCACCATCCACCACCGTTGAAATCAAGCGCCACCACCCACCATTGTTGAAATTGATCGCCACCATTGCAAAACCCATATGCCTGACACCACCTCCATCAACCCACCTGAGCAGGCTTCCCCCCCCCCCGGTGAGAGTTTTCTCTAGTTTACCCCTAATCCACTGTCAATCACTCAACCCCTAAAAATCTCTTTGATTTTTATTTCATTTTTGGTTTTGATTTTGATTTTAATTCAACCTTGATCTTGAAAGAATTGGGGCTTGATTGCCCATGGAGGTCTTGAAAAATCCAGTTCTGAATCCATGTTGGTGTATGTGACTGTGGGTTTGTGTTGTGAATATGTATTTGTGAGTTTGTGTTGTGGATGTGTATTTGTGATTTTTGTGTTGGGTTTGAGGATGGAGAGAACTCGGAAGGATTTATGCGTCTGGGAGGAGAGAGAAGTGAAAGGAAGAAGAAGGTGGGTGTTTGGGTCCAAGAATAATTTTGTTTGGATGAATAAATAGTTATAAAATATCAAAAATGTCCTTTAAACACATGATATTTTCCGTTAAATTTTTGGACGAAAGTTAGGGGTAAAGATTAAAGTGGATCAATGTGTAAATATTGCGGATAAAATTAGAAGTTTTGAGATGAAAGTGTAATATGTGTAAAATTTTATGGACTATTGGTGCCTTTTACCCTTTCAGCAATGGTGGTGGGCTTAGGGGTTGGATTTCGGGAATGGTGATGCGGTTGGGTTGTGGTGGGGATGGTGGTAGGTGGTTGGGTATTTGGTGGTGATAGGTGGTTGGAGGTGATGTTGTGGGGTGAATTTTTTTGCATAATATCAAATATATTTTTTATTATTATTTTTATAATTTTTTAAATATAAATAACTATCAAACTTATTAATTTTTTATCAAAAAAATAAAAATTATTTTAATTTTTTTTATAAAAAAACGTAAAAACAAAAACGTTATTAAGCACACCCGAGTTTATGTACCTCTGCGATGACTCCATACTAGATATGGTGTATAAGGCTTAAGAAAGGCAGGGTCTTCGAACCAGTTACTCAACTAATTTTTTCTCGTTTCAGTTAAAGGTATGTTATTCATATCGAAATTAAAATATTTATAAGAGATAAATTTTTCATTGTCTAGCTCAAATTGCCAAAATTCAAATTTTAAATATGTGAATTTACAATTTGTTGTGTCATCAGTAGACATACCATTCAATTAACCATTACTTTTTTCCAATGCAACAATGTAGAGCAATCTGTCCACTTAATTTCTCTTTCACATCTGATTTTGTTGCTTTAACACTCTCTCTCTCTCTCTCTTTCACACACACACACACTGAAATCCCAAATACACACACAATTCAATAACAATTGGCGATTATTCTGTGTAATGTATAATATTTATATCTAATCACTTTTCATTTTCTCTTTCACTATTTTCTCCTCACTCCTTCCCCACTACTTAAGGAATAAAAAAGTTATATAAATTTTTATAAAAACTTGTGTACATAGAAAATATTTTTTTAAAAAACAATTTAAATGAGGAATTATTAGTTTGTGAAAGGGTGGTTATGTCACATGGGAAAATTGGATTGATTGCATTAAAATAAATCAAAATTCTAAAATTTAAAAGAAAAAGAGAGGGAAGACATCCCAATATCTCTTCCACGTAATTTGTTTGTTATATAATATAGTATAGATTATAATATGTAGATTAGATTTCCTAGATACATGCAACTTTATTATTTTATTGGTAAGTTTTAGTTTTACCCCCAAACGGCACAAAGAGACTTGAAGAGCCTAGGGTTGGGTCGGGTTAGGTTTGCAATTTTTTTTCTTTGGATTGGGTCTGGGTAAGGTTGGTTCAAGTGGACTCAAGTGAGTTATTGGGTAGATTGGGTCAAACCTCGGGTAAAAGTAGACTACTTGTAGGTCAAGTCGCAGGTCTATTGGACAGGGCTTATTGGGTGGACCTGTTAGGCGAACTTTTTTTGTATAAAATTTTATTTAAAAATAATGAATATTTTTTTAACTTAATATTTTTGAATTAAAAGTAGAGTTAGCATCACAATAAAATGAGCACATCACAATTATGTTGATATCTACCCACCTATCTATCATTTGCATAATTTTACCTTTTAAAACGTTTATGTTTAATACATAAAAAAGAAAAAAATATATTATTTATAGTACCTAACTTTTTTTTCAAATGGAGAACAGGCTAGTGGACTAGGTTCTGAACCAGGTAATAAGTTTGAGAGTAAATTCAATCCCTCTCTTGAAGGATATTGGGCTCGCACCTAGGCAGACCAACTATCAAACCTGTAAGAGGCAAAAAATTGAAAGTACCTCCTACAGGAATTGAAAGATTGATGTGCTTTTAAACTTGATCTTTCAGTCTTCCCTCACTTACAAAACAAATCAACTGCTCAAGATCGAAGTGTTTCGATCGAAGGTACTCCGATACTTAAGTCAGTCAAGGTACTGAAACGAATGGAAGAAGACAAGGGGAGTTCAGCGTCACTTTCACCTTGGTTCCTTTAGTTTTTTATAGATCCATGTTCAGTTAGGGTTTTCATGGTTTTCGATTCTAGGTGGTACACCTTCCTCCAATTAGGCTGCTCTAGTTGGGAAGTTGGTGATATTTCTCCAGCAATTCTTCCTATCAAGCATATAATTTCGTTGATTCGTTTAACAAGATTGCCTAAATTACAGGCATCTTTTTAGCACCACGTTCACTGTTTAAACAGCTCTATCATACACAGTTCGATCGTGACAAGCACCAAGCTCATTCATTCCTTTTTGAGCTTTTTGATCAGCTCGGTTGCTATTTGATGACAACTTGGTTGGATCTCATTCTCTGTTCGGCCGGGACAACTTAGCTGTCTGTTCGATCGAATTTTATCCTCTATTAGGTCGGACCAATTTTAGCTCGGCCAGGATAGCCTAGCTATTTGCTCTGTTTGGCCCGGATAGCCTAGCTACTTGCTCTGCTCGGTCCAGATAACCTAGCTACTTTTTTTTGCTCGGTCTGGATAGCTTAGCTAATTGCTTTGCTCAGCCTGGTAGCCTAGCTAATTGCTCTGCTCGGCCCGGATAGCCTAGTTACTTTTTCTGCTCGATCCGAATAGCCTAACTAATTGCTCTGCTCGGCCCAGATAGCCTAGCTAATTGTTTTGCTCAACCCGATAGCCTAGTTACTTGCTCGGTAATAGTAGAATCATTGCAAATAACTCTTTTCAGCATGTGCAATCTGTCACGTGTCTAAGTCTAATTGTCAGATGATGATCAAAATTTATCGACCCCTTCAAAACCTATTTTTTTTCGAGCCGAATAATAGAACTCGTGCACAATTCGACCCATAAACACCCCTAGAAGAGATTACTGTAATCATAATTGTTTGTCTTAGTTTTACCATAAAAATTGCAAATAAATTCAATTTTTTCTTATAAAAAATCATCTCCTATCATATTTCTATTAGGATAATTAAGAGTGTGGCATAAAGTGCTTAAGACTCGGCAAAGTGGCTCATGCCACTCGGCATTTCACCAATATGGGTCGTGCCATTCGGCACTTGGGAAGTTCACTCACGCCACTCGACATTTGAGGAGGCTTGCCCTTGTCAGTTGGCATTTTGCCAAGCTGGCCCTTGCCACTAGGCAAGTGGACTGCCTTGCCACTGTCAATTGGCGAGTGTCTTGGCTAGCCACTGCCAGTCGACAATTGGCTCGCTTGGCCACTTTCAGCTGACAAGTGTCTTGGTCAAATTTTCGGTCATTTGTGTTGGCACCCAGAGTCTTATTCAGTGAATGATCAACTTGGGATCTCGAGAGCTAATCTAAAATCACTCCGAATGTGTAGAAGCTGGATTAGGGGTTAGAACCTAGAGTTCTAATCAAATTCTACTCTATACTTGTAGGACCTGATTACAGGGTTGAGCCAATTAATCAAAAGTTCGGGTTCTTTTTTGACACATCTTTGTACCATTATAATAAAAGTCTAGGGTACTATGTAATACAATTCAATCTTAACCTACTGTACATTCTTCTTTGACTTATAATTTAACTTAAGAATCAAAATTCCTTCGACCATCTCCGACTATCGATTTACCAAAGTGTTCTCTTGTCTTACAAGTTTTTCAAAATTTCCTCATCATCTCTAGCCATACGAGATAATGACTAATAATACAAATTTATCGCCGCACATTGAATTATACTTTTGACAAGTTATTCTCACAAAATCCTAATTATATTGTATGTCTTTTTATCTCTTTTACCTTCTAGTTACCAAAATGCCAAAGTAGAGGTGATACTCGTGTCGTATTGCAAGTTTTGTTTGAATCGTATTAGTTCGAGTTAGTGTCAATCACTAATTAAACCTTATCCAACTCGTTTAATTAATTATATCAGTTATCCAGAAATTAACTCAATTTGCTTATTAGCATGTCATGTTTGGGATAACTTATATAACCTTTGAATTTAAAATATAAAATTAAGTCTTCATTATCAAATTTATTGTGTTATTATTAGATAATAACACCACATTACATTACTAAAATTTACTTTCTCTCTCACACACACACACACTAAAACCATGGAAATGGTTGATTGCTTTGTGCTATAGTCTGTCTGCAAGGACAAGAAGTTTGCACTAAGCAACCTTTGGATCCATAATGAGTAAAGAAAACAAAACAAATTTTAGATCCAACCATTTTAACCTCAGCAAAACATTTAGCACAGAAGTAGCTCTCATGGCGTCAAAGTCTTAACCGCATTGGCAAAAGACGTATTGGTGGTGCTATAACCACCATCAATCACAAGGTTAACCCCACTCACAAACTTAGACTCATCACTGCCCAAAAACACCGCCGCCTCCGCCACATCCTCCGCCGTCGGGACTGTCCCTTTCAATATGGCCGACGCGCAGAGTATCTCCTCCACCGTTCTCTTCTCCAACCCCATCGCATTTGTCAGTAACGGTGTAGCAACAGCCCCTGGAGATATGCAGTTAACCCTTATCCCATACTGTCCAAGCTCGGCGCACAGGTTTTTCGTCAGCCCCACCACGGCGTGCTTCGACACCGAGTAAGAATGCGGTGACTCGCCGGCGGTCACAGAAGCAACGCTGGAAGTGAACAGAATGACCCCTTTCTTCGCCGGAATCATAACCCTAGCGGCATGTTTGGCGCCCAAGAAACCACCGTACACGTTCACTTCGAAAACCCTTTTGAAGTTTTCGTTATCAGCAGACTGGATACTGAAATCCAACTTTCCCGGTATGCCGGCGTTGTTGAACATGATGTCAAGCTTGCCGTACTTGGAAACGGCGGCATCGACGGCATTCTTCACGTCGCCGTCGACGGTAACGTCGCAGTGAACGTACATTACATTTTCAGAGCCAAGATCTTTACAAAGGGACAAACCCAGATCATCTTGAACGTCGGCGATGACGACGTTCGCTCCATGTTTTATAAAAAGCCTCACTGTGCATTCGCCGAAGCCACTTGCTCCGCCGGTGACTATGGCGACCTTACCTTCAAGCCTGAAATTAGTACCTTTAAAATGGTGTGTATCAATTGTATAAATAGATAGAAGAAAGCAACGAAGATTGGGCCAGTTGAGAAGGACAAGAACCTACCTTTTGGCAGTGGGATCTGATGAGCAACCACCATTCATTTTCAGATTTATGTTTACCAATGAATGGAAGGTTTGGACCAATGAAACCTCAGGGGATAGTACGGGTTATATAGTAGCAAAACATTGGGAAAAAAAATCTAGGAAAATGTTATTATTGTATTAAAATATTTTTTTTCCTATATAAGCAATGAACGCCCAACCAATGTAAAAAAAAAAGAAACACCTCCACTAGTATTTGAGTCGTCCTGTGTCTATATTTATTTTGCTCAACCTTGATTCATTTATAATAATGGTTTAAATATATGTCGTATGCATATCATAAATAATTGAGTTTATAATTTATATAATTGAGTTTCTATCAACTCATTAGTAAGGTTAGTCTAACAATTTTAATTGTTCAGTATTCAAACCCGTTAAAATTAGGGTTTTTTTTAATGATCGGTACAATGTATAAACTTTTTGGTTAATAGTTGAAAGAATGACGAGACATAAATTTCTGCAGAGCGTAAGTTTAAGTTTCCATGCTGTATAAAATTTTATCCATACTCTTGTAGAATACTTTATTTTCAAGCATATCTTTTATATTATTTGAAATTTTACTCAAACTCCTAGTAAGAGTTTGTTAGCTAAGGGAGATAATAGAACTTGTTCTTTTACTATATTAACCCTCACAACCTAACATATTATTCACTGTTATATAATACATATAAATATTTATCTCACATATTGCCCACTTATTATATAATACATATAAACCATAATTATATAGTATATAGTATACAATATTTTAGTATATAATATATTATTATACACTTACCGTATAATAAAAATATGTTATATACATATAGAACAAACGAATTAGGAGAAAAAAAGCTTGAGAAGTCTTTCCTCCACATTCTCTAATTTTCAAGGGTTTTAATTTTTTTTTAATTATCATACTAAGGCTTCTTTCAATTACACTCTTTCATGTATCTTTTGTATACCTTTCAACTTCTCGCTAACGGCCTACTATTTTTCAAAATTTATTTGCATAAAATTATTTTTTTATCTATCTTCTTAAGCAAAATTTAAAAAATGACAAAAAAATATTCGTGCATCACACGACGGTTGTACAAAATAAATAATATATGTACAGTCATATCCTTTTAGGTAGTCAAATCATTCCTACCACTTAGCTTAGTCAATCTTCATTGCATAAGACCGAATTTACACAATTTCATAAATATGAAAATATTATAAACAAAAAATTAAATATTCATCCAAAAAATAGGTATTTCTCATCTGAATACCAGTGCATTACACCAAAAATTAGTGGATTAAGCCAAAGAAAAAACAATATGTAAAACTCCATAAAGCTATACGCCAATGACTTTTATAGAAGGCCAACTTATAAATTTTTCCAAATTCGAATGAAATGAAGAAGATTCATTTCATTTGAGGCTCATTTTGGTCAATTTTCACAGTAAATGATAACTTTGGTATTTTTAAAGAATATGAAGTTAAATCTTTCAATTTTCCATTTGTTAGAGACGGTTGTTAATGGAAAATGGTGCAAATGATTTTATAATATAATCTAGAAGAGAGTGTATAGTAAAATTTCAGAAGATACAGGTGTGTCATTGAATATATGCATAATTATAAGAGGTGGGGATGAAATTTACATTCAAATAATACATATAACTTATAAATTATTGTGTACGTTCGAGTTTCACATTACAGACATGAGTTCAAGAGAAGAGTGATGAAAACAATTGTACCCTGACATGAGAATGCCAAAAACTTACAATTTACCCAATTATAGACGTGGTCTAGGTGTGACCAACCGAGTTACCCCAACTGCTACCAAACTAGGGTTAGAGACATATCGTCAATTGAAATAAATAAATGCCGAAAGGAAAGAAAGCAACTTGCCATGTGCTGGTCGTGATGATGAAGAACTAGTAGGCCATGCAGTAAATGGTGTTAGTGATCTACCATGCACATTGAATTTTCTTGTATGGGTCGACGGAAATAGGAGTGGGCAATCACTCATTTCTCAACCCGCAATACTACACTACACTGATTAAATATTGGGATCAAATTTAAAGCCTAAATGACATGACAACATATTATTTAGAGTTTTAATTGAGGCTCAAATGACATAACACCAAATAATAAAATCCAAGTCAGTTGTCATATCATTTGGATTCTAAATTTGATCAGTATAGTATTACTGTTTTTCAACTAACAAAGATTGGGTAATTCAATTCACATTAACTCCATTTTTAATGCTCGTAATGATTTATAACACTTTAGTCACTTTTTTGATGGATCTAATTATGTTATGAATGTAAAATTTTGGCATAGACTATTAATACACAAAAAAATTTAAGGTCTTTCGTCTAGATAGGCCTGAAGTTTAGGCTTTAGCAGCTTAGTGCTTTGGCCGACCTAGTCTTAAATGTTTTGTTCTATTTGGATTTGACCATATCTTTGGAAATTTAACTAATGCCCATTGAAGATTCCTGATCATCTCTGCCACCCCAAAAAAAAAAAAAAAAACAGAATCAACCATCTCCATTACCCCACCCCTCCCCAAAAAAAACCCAGAAAACTAAACATTAAAAGGACTAATTTTTCTACCATTGTGTTATGCACTCATATTATGCCACATTTTATTTGAGTAATATTACATGAATTTCAAAAAATGTATTTGATAATCATAATAATTAATTTTATTGTGAGTTTCAGTATTTATTGAGATGAATTACCTATTCAATAATTATAATTATCAAACACACATTTTAAATTCATATTTTAAATCCAAATAGCATTTCCGTTATTGTTATACATCCTATCCATAATGAGATGAACACATATTTAGGGATCACTAATGTATTTTGTTTGGGTTTTTTTTAGTTTAACGATCAGTGATGTCTGGGCTTTCAAGTATAGAAAAGTGTATCACTTTCACTTTTCATCATTCTATTTTTCATCTATCCAACCAAATATACCATAAATAAAAGAGTTTAAAATAACTAAAAAAATTAATATCATGTTTTTTCCATCTCAAAAGAAAATTATTTGAGTGCTCGTAATGGTTATACAATGTATGCAAATCATCTTATATTTTGGTAGGGGTGCAACTCAGGCGGGTTGGGCGGGTTGGATAGTCAACCCTAACCCAATCCTATGTATATAATCTTCAACCCTAACCCTACATCGGGTTGAAAAACTCAACCCGAGCACTTACCGAGTTTAATTCGGGTTGAATTCGGGTTAATGATTTTGAACTAATTTCGGGTTACTTTACAGGTTCAATTCGGGTTGAGTTCGGGTAGAGCCCAAAATATGCTTGTTGTTCTAAACCTAATACATATATTACATAATATTCACCTAACCTAAATTAATAGCCAATAACTTTAACAAAGTTTTAACATTACTAATGCTAGAGAAAAAAAATGAAAATGAACAAGAGAAACAGAAAACGATAGAACAAAAATGAAACATTAGTGCTAATGCTTTATATATATATATATATATATATTTATTTATTTTTTTTAAATTTTCGGGTTCGGGTTGAAATCGGGTTAGGATTTTCTAACCCAAGCCCAACCCAAATTGAATCCGGGTTAGAGTTTTCTGACCTAAGCCCAAATCAAGTATTAAAAACTCTTACCCAAGTCCTAATTTTTTTGGGTTGGACTCGAGTTGAAATAGGGTTGTCCAACCCAAGTTGCACCCCTATATTTTGGGCTGAACCTGGCCGTAAGCCTAACCTTAGTCAACGGACTACAACCGAGCCAGCCCACGGCTAGCAGCAATGGGCTGGCCCTAATGATGACCCTATTTAGTGAGCTTTTAATTTTAGTTTTAAAGCCAAATATATAATTTCACAAATTTATTAACCTAAGAATTTGGAGAACTAAAACTGATACGAGAAATGTTACACAACTCAAATAAAATTCAAATGAAACTCAACAACTTACAGCCCAGATGCATATTATTTTTTAGGACCCACTCAACTTTTTCAGTAAAACATACTCATCCAATGAATGATAGATATTTGAATTATAATTTTTGAATTTCATTTAAATTGTGTATCATTTTTCAACTGATATTGAGGGAAAGAAGTATCACTAGGCTTTTCGAGACCTCCAACCTAAAGAGAGAGTAGAGTTTGAGAACTTTTAAAGGAGTTTAAAATATAAATAAATAAATAAATAATATATATATATATATATATATTATTTATTTGAATCAAATTTTGTGAAAAAGCATAAAAAATATTTGACCGTTGGATCAATTTAATCAACAACTAAAAATGGAAAAAAAAAAAAGATAAATTGTTATCGGATTAATGGGTCAAGCCACAGACTGTCAAATATATCGGACTTTTTAATCAGGCCAGTAGATTGGGCCATAACACCTAGAACTAACGGCTCATGACCCTCTCTAACAGGCTAATTTATATGCGGACTACCATGTGGTCCTCCGGGTTGTCGAGTTGCCCCAACGGGCTGTGGTTCCATTTGATGACCCCTGAGCAAAAATCATTCAACAAATATTCTTTTAGAACGAATGGTTAATCCCACTTTACATCTCAAAACATATTTAAAATTTTAATTTGTACCCTAAAATTTTTGTTCCCGAGTTTCATCCTCAATGTTATTAAAAAATGACAACGTGGCCCAGACCCAAGTAATCGTTTATTCTTGGATTTTTTGTAGGTCGGTACCATATATAAGATTTGGGGAAATTTAGAAGTCGGTATAAAAATTTGGACTTAATTGAGTTAAACTACATAAGAAAATTTATTTGGCGTTAAATGTATTTTTTTGAAAAAAGATTGATAGACCATTAATTACTTCATTAATCTTTCTCTCCCTCTCTCTCTCTATTACTCTTTCACTCTCTCTTTCCTATTTTTTTATCTATCTCTCACAAACATTGATAATTTATTTTTTTTTCAAATAGGTAAAGATATAATTTAATTTTTTTTCATCTTTCTCTCTCACTCTCTCTTCTCCTATTTTCTCTCACCATTAATTTTTCTCTCCTTATTATCTCTCTCTCCTTATATCAACGTCACAACAATATAATTACACCAATCAGATACACTAATTACCTACAACTACCTTATAATACATCAAACAGTTACTCATACGTTCTAATAAATCAAATAGTTATACTAAATAATTATACGAAACTACAACATCAATCAAATTTGTCATTCACTTATTTACATAAACCAAAGAGTTATACAATTTAGTATCACGACATGGTTATACAAATTATATACATCAAATTGAGCTTATCATTACACATAATATTTTACTATTATACCAATTTAGTATATATAACTGGTGTAACCATGTCATGATACTAAATGGTGCAACTCTTTGGTTTATATAAACAACTGAATAACAAATTCAGTTGATGTCATAATTTTGTGTAATTATTTGGTATAGTTGTTTGATTTATTAGAATGCATGAGTAACTGTTTGATTTATTATAATACAACTTTAATTAATTAGTATAATTGTGTTGTTGTAACGTTGATATAAAAATAAAGTAATTGTGAGAGAAAATAGGGAAGAGAGATGAAAAAATCAAATCAAATCTTTATATATTTGAAAAGAAAAGAAATTATCAATGAGAGATAGAGAGAGAAAATAGAGAAGAGATGAGGAGAGTAATGGAGAGAGAGAGAGTGTGATCGAGCGAAAATAGGGGAGAAATAATGAGAAAGTAATGGAGAAAGATGAAGAGAAAATAGAGGAGAGAGATATTAAGAGAATAAAAATTATGTATAATTTAAGGAAGGATAAGTAAGTAAAAAAAAATTCAAATATCATTTAAATTTTGTACCTAATCATAAAATATTTTATTAAAATTAAACTTAATAGAGTAAAATACTTAGTCATACACTTCTTCTCAAATAAACCTAAAAAAATGTACTCACACCCAAAAAACCCTAAGATTTACTTGCATAAAAATCCTTGGTTAAAATGTTTTGTGGAGAAGTCCTATTTTTTTTTATTCCAAAACACCCGCAGATGTAACTGAACAGACGTTTGTCTATCTTTGAAAACCTTCGAATTCCATTCACCATCTCTGTGACGCCCCTAAAACTAGGGATCCTTTTTCAACCGTTGACCACCCGTCAATCCACGAAAATACCCGTAATTGTTGTACAACCCGACATCACATCAATAACATCCCCTTAACCAGGATCATAACCCCCACGTGTAACCCCGTGTATATTTTGCCAATTGACTCAATTAGGGTTCAATATATCACAATTTATACTTCATTTATATCATTGAATTGAGAGAACACATAGTCCGAAGGCTTGAAAAAACATTCTTAAAATTTCAGGTTTTTGAAAAATTTACCGGTAGATTTTTATGGACCTATCAGTAGGTTTTGTCCTCTCGAAAAGTTTTACCGGTAGGTTGATGTCCTACTGGTAGGTCTTGCTTGCTGGACAAAGTTCTACCGATAGGTCAGATGTCCTACTGATATGTTTTGCCTACTGGAACACACCTACTTGTACAAGTTCCACCGGTAGGTTGATGTCCTACCTGTAGGTTTTACCCAGAATTGTTTATTTTCCTACGATTCTCCTTTCTTTTCATTTCCAATTCTTTCCAAAACCCACCCAAATTCATGTAACATATATTTGAACATCAAACACAGTTAAAACAAGTTCTATTACAATCATTTTCAAAAGATTACATGTCCAAAACATAATTTTCACAATGTTTTTCAAAAATACGAATTAAAGGCCACAAATCGGTCTCTCTTCATCCTTGAGGCCCCGAATAAGAGCAGTTCACCGACGTGTATCCCGTATTTAAAATGTTTTCTCATATAGGGTGAGCCACGCTCAATAGAATATCTTTTATAGAGGGTACTCCCCCAACCTAAATACATATGAATATGCATATGCAACAATCAACAAACATCATCCATTGCAATTAAGAATATGCAATTCAATGTTGAAATTCTACCATATCATGCCATGAAATGAGATGAGACTCACTCATGCACTTTACCTCAAGCCCTCACCAACTCCCGCAACACAATACAATGCTAATATGTAGAAAATCTGTCATTGATGAATTACATCAATTACATCCAATGATCATTTTGAAACAAAAGTCATGTGGTTATAAAACTAAATCATTGTTGGATGTTACACATCGAATGACTATTTTATAAAATAAGTACACTTTTATGGAATTTTACCTCAGGAGAGTGTACGAACCAAGTATTTTATAAAACAAAATCACGTGTTTTTGTTAGGTAACGGAGTTTTGGTATCGCACCGCAGGTTCCGCAAACCAATACACTTTTCTAGAATTTCATCTCAGGGGAGTATATGAACCAAGTAACCGGGTCTTGCACCCGAGGGAGAATCTAGCCCTACTTGCTATACTCGACACAAGTTTTTTGTGCAACCATGCGATTCAGTCAGATCTTTAATCCAACTTTCTCAAGTTCACTCATTAATCACCAAGTATGGTATTTGATCAAACTATACACACACACTCGCACTCATGTCTAATGCTCATTAATGCAATATTGAGTTTGACCTCTATTAATTTAGAGATTTCAAGTTTAACATTTTTGATACTCCTATCAACCAACCACCCTTATTCTTCCGAGAAAATGTTTTCAATTTTCTCAACTCATAAAAAATTTAAAGCTAACTAAGGTTCTGTTCCATCCTTTGATAGAGTTAAGGGTGTCTATGGGTTGGGTTACCGTGAGTCTTGTTACCCTGCCTGAAAAATAGGCACGATAGGCTCGATAATTGGCCTGCTTAAGTCCGAGTTCGAACCCAATATCCTTAAAATTAGGCTTGGGCTTGCCCCCAAACCCATTACCCGTTCCAAGAACCCCCAACGTTCCCTTAAAAAAAAGTTAGACTGTCAAACCATTGAATTTGAAATTTTGAAATAAATTCTCTAATGCCTCAATTTGAAGTTTTAGAAATTTAGATACTATAAATAATGTATCATTTTCTTTTTGATGTATTACATATACATGTTTTAAATGATAGAGTTGTGCAAATGATAAATAGGTGGATAGATGTCAACCTAGTTAGGATATGCTCATTATATTGCAATGTAATTCCTCCTCTATTCAAAAATAAAATTATTCGTTATTTATTTTTTATCTATTTTGATTTTATTTTTAATTTAAAAATATAATTTATAAAAATATTATACTAATTTTATTGTAATGTAGTTTCTATTCAAAAATAAAATTATTTGTTATTTATTTTAATTTTAAAATATAATTTATAAAAATATTTATTATTTTTAAATAAAATTATATATAAAAAAATTTGTGAGCAAATCCGCCCAAAATGTTCACCCAAAAAGTTGGCGAGTTGAATTACAAGTAGCTTATACCTACCAAAAGTCCAGCACGGCCTGTCCGATAAATCACCGGACTTAAGTCTACCCTACCCAAATCTAACCCAAAAAGAAATTTCGCCGGCTCGCAAATAGAGTCCTGCACCAATTTGAGGGAAATAAATTTTGTGTTTTTTGTAGGTGAAAACTGAAAAATGTGATTGACCTAAACAGCAATGCTATTATGGAGAAATATTATATTCAAGCATAGAGCCAAACACAACTCATGGAATTATGCCATTTGGTTGATCACCTTCCACCCTTGAAGTCACCCCAACAGACAGTTTGTCCGAACATAGATCTGAGCTCTTTCATTCTTTAAAGTATGGAAGGGCTCTACTTGTGCTTTTGGCTCTCTTTCCTAATCCCATCAACAATTTTACACCACAAGACATGGGCTCTGAAGACTAGGTTGGAATCGGAGACCGAGTTGCTGAGTCGGGAGTTGTTGGAATCGGCGAGGGAGGCTGAGTTCTTCGACTGGTTGAAAAGGGTTCGGAGAAGAATTCATGAGTACCCTGAACTGGCCTTTGAAGAGCACCAGACGAGTCAGTTGATTAGAAAAGAGCTTGACTCGTTAGGAATCGAGTACTCGTGGCCTGTTGCCGGGACTGGGGTGGTGGCTACAATTGGATCTGGAAAACAGCCTTGGTTCTCTCTTAGGGCTGACATGGATGCCCTCCCAATTCAGGTCTCTCTCTCTTTCTCTCTCTCTCTCACAGTGAACTTATGCAGCAAAATATTTTAATCTTGAGTAAACTACACAAATAACTCTTAAACTATGACAATTAAATCAATTAAGTCCCTAAACTAATTTTTGTGTCAATTTCATTCTTAAATTCTAAATTTTTAGCAATCAAGCCCTGAACTAATTTTTATGTTAATTGAACTCTTAAAATTTAAAACTTTAGCAATTAAACCCTTATGTCAATAGCGGTTAGGTTTTTGGATGGAATGTCCCACTTGCTCACCGGTGGAACAATAATTTGGAGTATTTTGGATTGTTCGTTCGAAACCTATTAGGTAAAGAATCCCATTCTTTATACTCATCAACCAAAACACTAAACCTAAACCTCTTTCATACCCATCAAATAAAGTACATCAACAAGTTCTGCGATCTGGTGTAGAAAACAAATTACATAAATGAAAGCTCTTTGAAGAGGTTGTTGATTTGCTTCATTCGATGGGGGTATGAAATAGGTTTAGGTTTAGGGTTTCGATTGATGGATACGAGGAATGAGGTTCTTTGTGTGATAAGTTTCGAACGAACAGTCTAAAATATTGCTGATTTGCTGTCCATGTAATAAGCACATTAGACATTCAAAAACCTAACGGTTGTTAACAGAAGGACGTAGTTGTTTAAATTTTAGAGTTTAGGGACTTAATTAAAACAAAAATTAATTCAAGGACGTAATTACTAAAATTTTAGAGTTTAAGTACTCAATTGACATGAAAATTAGTTTAACAATGGTCATTTGTATAGTTTACTATTTAATCATCAGTGTGATATTTGATTGAAAAATGTTATTTGAACCTAATTTGGGGATCTAATTCAATACAATCATTGGATTGGTTGTGGGCTCCATTTAACATTGGAATTCACAACTAATCTAATGGTTGTATTGAAGCCACATTATTAGGTCCCCAAATTAGATCTTCAAATAAGGTCCCTATAACATTGCTCTATTTGATTTTGATTATTTAAACTCAAATATGTGAGTTTTGAAACCAAATTAGCCTAATAGAGGTAAGAGGTTTAAATTCAAATCGATGTGAACTTCAGAGGTTATATTTTACCCCGGAATGTAATGCTGATTTGGACTCAAATCGAAAGAGATGTCAAGATTCATGGACAATCGATTGCTAAAGAGAAATGGCTGTTGACAAACCACAGTACAAAATAATTTAGTGCAACAAATTCAGGAACTGAACCTACTGATTGTTTTCTAAGAATGGAATGTATTTGAGTTATTAACATTGACTTCCTTGCATATAGTAGGCACACACAAGGTCACACTCTCATCCCAAAGGCAAAAAAACATAGGCTGGCAGATGTAGAAAGGCTTGCTTATAAGAGTATCTGTTTTGTAGTGTATGTCATGTAGGGATAGAGTAGCTCTGAAACAGACATTGCTGGATGTTTACTTACAAAAGAGTACATGGTTTGTAGTGTATGTCATGTATGGCTTGAGAGGGGTTGAAACAGATATTGCTGGCTGTTAAAATTCACAGTTATTACAATAACATTGGCAGGATATTACTAGTTTATGGTTCTCTGTGGCCTTTTCTGTTTGCCATTCCTCATGCATATAACAAGTTAATAAATTACACACCACTCAGTAATGACTTTGCTGTAAAAGTGGGATGGGACTATGAAGTTATTTGGTAGCTACCCAAAATATATAAGAAGTGAAATCATGGTATCAAACCATCATACAAAACCAGTAAACCGACATATAGTGAATCTCATCATTTGGAATCAATGTAGCAAAAACGATCTTTACTGACTTGAAAATTAGAGCCATTTATTTCTGGCCAAATATTTTTCAATTTTGTGGACATAAATTCACTTGAGCAAATGTCCAGCAAAAAGATTATGGAAATGAATGTTGAAGCTCCTTCTTTCTCGTTTTTTTTTTTTGTTTTTTTTTGGAGGCTGATGTTCAAGCTCACTGAAGAAATTTTGTTTTGAAGTCAATTTAAGATGTCCAATGGTAGGTCTCTGTTTTTCTTATATTAATGGGATGAAATTCTATTAGTTAATAGACAATACTATACAGATATGGAAGCATTTCTTGATGTCCAAAAGAGTTATTCATTTGGATTTGAACTTGATTCCTCAGTTCAATAAGGGCTCAGATTGCTTCAGATAGGGTTGTTAAGCAAGAAATCAGACTTCTTTGGATGGGTTTGTTTGGAAACTCTTTGTCTGTTTGAGAAAATCGGACAAGACTCGGTGAATGTTAAAAAGGTTAGATTGATGTTCAATAGCTGCAAAAAATTTGCAACCCAATAAACTTAATATTTTTCGCATGAGGAATGATCACAAAATTAAAAAATTTAAAAGCAGGAGCAGTCCCCTATATCCATCAGAATGCCTCAGAGGTCAGTAAGACAAGCATTTCCGTTTAGAAAAATATGGAGTATAATTGCAGCAGCTGTGTTGCATATGGGTCCTCTTTACTGTCATCGATTTAAATGCTCTATTGTTAGCACAGCTAGCTAAGTGTTTTTTATACCATTGATTTCTTCTTATCTTGACATCCTTTTCCAGTTCAAAATGTTGCTTTCGAAATTGTTGTGCTAGAAAAGTATTTCAGTTGACAACCTAAATTTTCACTTTAAAGGAATTAGTAGACTGGGAGTATCAGAGCAAGATCAGTGGTAAAATGCATGCTTGCGGTCATGATGCCCATGTAACAATGCTTCTTGGAGCAGCCAAGTTGCTTCAAAGCAAAAGGGATCAGTTACAGGTATGTTTAAAAGTGCACCACTTTTTTCTAGCAAATATGATGAGTTCGCATTACTGTGAATTCTGATTTGGCAGTTGTTTGGATCCATTATCAAGGGCTCTGTTAAGCTTGTTTTTCAACCTGGAGAAGAGGGTCATGCAGGAGCTTACCATATGTTAAAAGAAGGTGCTCTGAATGGGTTTCAAGCTATATTTGGATTGCATGTATCCCCAGAGTTGCCTACTGGTGTCATAGGTTCTAGACCTGGTCTAATGATGGCAGGTGCAGGCAGGTTTCTAGCAGTAATTCAAGGGGTAGGTGGACACGCAGCTAGCCCACATAAAACAAGAGACCCAATTCTTGCCGCATCTTTTGCAGTCATAGCGCTCCAACAGATTGTTTCTCGAGAGACTGATCCTCTAGATGCCAGGGTAATTTTCATTGGAACGTTCTCACACATCATTGTGCTTGGTGAAATATCAAGTATTTAAGAGCTATCATGTTTGTTGATTTCCAATTGTGTACAGGTGGTCTCAGTTGGATTCATAGAGGGTGGTTATGCAGGAAATGTAATCCCTGAGACTGTGAAACTCGGAGGCACATTTCGGAGCATGACTTCTGAAGGTTTCTCATTCCTGCAGCAGAGGATCAAAGAGGTATATTGGTGTGCTGAAATACGTCTTTATAAAGAAAAATGTTAACAATTAAAAAAAATGAAATAGCCATATATACATTTGTCACCATGTGATTTTCGTATCATGTTGCAGATATGATCATGCACCAGTACAAAATCATGATGTCTTAGCCAGAAATCGAATTAATATATTTGCAGGAACGTCAGAAAACAAAATTATATCTACCCCCTCACCCTCTTCCACAAAAACATGTTAACAAAAATATTTTGAAACTTTTTGAATTTTTTTTTTGGAACAAAGCCTAAGCACCCGTTGCATGTTACTTTAATTGAAGTACATATATGTTTCGGTTTACAGGTTATAGAGAAGCAAGCAGCTGTGCACCGGTGCACTGCCATGATTGATTTCTTGGAGGAGAAACTAAGGCCTTATCCACCAATGGTCAATGATGCAGCAATGTATGAACACGCAAAAAGTGTCGGCGAAGCCCTGTTTGGTAGATCTAATGTGCAACTCCTCTCAACGATTATGGGAGCAGAGGACTTCAGTTTCTATTCGCAGAAAATGCCGGCTGCGTTTTTCATGATCGGTGTGAAGAATGAAACGATGAAATCTTATGAAGGGGCTCACTCTCCTTACTTTACTATTGATGAGGAGGTTCTTCCTCTCGGAGCAGCTCTCCATGCTGCGGTTGCCATTACTTACTTGGATGGTAATGTTGAGATTCAGTAAGGGCTTGTGTACATACATAGCTGGAAATGAAAGATTATGGGGGGAATAGAAGTTGATGTATTGCAAAAATCAATATAAATTTCAGAATTGTTAACATGGTCAATGCTAGAATCGAACTGATGTGATTAGTCTTGATCATCTCAATCTTGTCCTCCCATCTAGTGTGAAGTGTTTAATCTCTTTCTTTGCTTTTTCCTTCTTTTTTTTTTTTGGCATGGATATGAAATCAAATTTTTTAGAGGGTGGGCTTTAGCGCAATGATAAGATTATTTCATTGCGACTTAGAGGTCAGGGGATCAAGTCGTGGAAACAAACTCTGTTTTCAGAGGTAATGTTGCATACATTTAGTTCTTTTCAGATCTCACAATGGCGAGAGTCTCGTGCACTGAGTACCGCCATATGAAGTCAAATTTGCTAGAAGCTTGGCTAGTTCAATTGAAATAAAAAGGTGAACATTGACCATTATACGTTCTAGCATAAAAAAGGTGAAGATTTTTTTTTGTTAACTGAAACCTTAACAAATTGCAATGCTATTATGGACACCAAGAAATTTCCAAGTTATCTTTCTAATTGCAAAACGACCGAGGATTGTACTATTTCTAATGCACTGTATGTAAAATTCAGTCGAAAAACGACATAAGTTCTAAGTTAATTGATAATTTCTCGTTCACTCCTTCAAAGATTAGGCCTTTTGAAGGTGATATTTGGGCTTGTACTTGATAGAAGCTAAATGAGTACGAAAATCTAGAATAAAGCAAAATGGACACTTGATTTTCAATATGCCTTCAACTGTTTGTCGGTAGAACTAATAATCGAGTTGAGTTTGTCGAGTTTATTTTTTTAAACAAGTTTAAAAAATTATTTAAGTTTAACTCTTTTAGAAAATGAGCCGAGGTTGAGGTGGACTCAAGATGAGTCAAGCCCGAGTAACTTTGAATATTTTACATATAAACAAGTTGAACTTTGAAAATTTGAACCGAACCTAAAACATTGTTCAACACAAACCGAGCTCAAATTGAATTATACAAAAAACGAATCCGATCTAAGCCCGAGTAGGTGAGATGAATTATTTGCCCAATTTGTGGGCTTAACAAGCTCTGTAACTGGGACTACATTCCAAGAGTAGTTAGGTTGATTTATAAGTGACCGACAATAGTTGGGTAGTCTGCAGCTTCCATTCGTAGATCAACTTTGAAGTTTTGAAAATTGGGCACCAAAAAGCTCGTTCCGGATATTATTAATTGAGTGCCCATTACCTACCAGATAGTTTGGGATCTAACTATAGTATCGGACCGGACCGGACCGGTTTTTGTCATATTTTTGCCTAATAAAACATGATTTTTTTGTTTAATTATTTTATATTACTTCAATTAATGATTACAAATCAAACAATCTAAAACCAGCATAGGACTAAAAATCAATTCTGATGTCGTTTCAAATTTTGTATAGCAATATCTTAATTGAAGATGTCAATGACACCAAGTGTGAATTCCAAAGAAAAATAAAATGGTTTTTATGAGGGATAATCATCATCTAAACAAAACAGCTCTCGTCTCTTTGGACGGTTGTCTTCTATAACATAGGGTCTGGGTCGCCCAATAAATCATACACATCGTGCCAATCGTCAAAGAATTCGGGAGTTCTTCGTACCTCATGGTCGTAACCCCCAAAAGTCTTCTCACCTGTTGTACCAGGTTGAGTTACAAAAATGGTTTTCTCCACTCAAATATCACCTGGTACCATGTTTGAAATTTCCAACAGCCACTTTATATGAATTGGTCATATTCCAAAATTCCTAGTCAAGTGGAGAACTTTGAACAAACTTAAAGTGCTGCTTCTTTTGGAGGTATGTCACAATAATATCAGAACAACAACAACAACAACTTATGCCAAAGATATTGAGACCAATAATGAGGTGAATTCATCATCTTCAACTCCATTTAAGTGATAACAACACCAACTGTAAATCAAAATATTTTAAGTTTGAATCTTAATAATCTTTTGGGGTTGGGTCGGGTCAGGTCATAAGAGATTTATCCATCATAAATACTCTAATCCCAGCGTGATGGTCTGTTTTTGACTAAATCAGAGAGAAAATTAGTTGAAACACGCGTAAACTAACACAAACATTCTTAAAAAAAAAAAAAAAAGTCATCATTATCTTCACCTCTCTTTTTCCCTTCAAAGTTAGGCCAAGGTTGGGACAGTTTGGTCAAAATAATCAAACTCATGAGAAGATAATAACTTTAGGTCCATTTTCAAAATCTTAAGTTGAAGACGGTTGCAATTGATATTAAGATTCCACCTTAGTGTTGAGTATGTCATTTTCATAGCCGACCATCCTTGTGGCTAAGAAAAAATGAGAAAAATCATAAGAATATGGAGTGCATTGAACTAGGTATTCTGTATAAAAACACATTTTTTTAACTATGGTTGAGCAGTAGTTATCATTAAAATATATACTGTGGATAAAAAAAAAATTGTTAAGACAGATTTATTGTAATTAAAAGATTAAAATATAAATTGTAAGATAAACTGTCTCGTTTAAACGATCTGGATTATTGTTGTTTATTTTAGTAAAGATCAATTTAAAGAAGGAAAAAGGAAGGACCAGAGGAGGTTCAAAGCTCATTGCTATGGACCAAAATAAAAATTTACAGGTGGAAATTTACACAACTCTAATCATATTTAAATCCTATATAACTCCATAATATTGAAAGTTCAAATGACCCTGAAAGATGAAAGTGAGTCTTGAAGGTTTTGGATCCAAATCTCCTTAGTAAACTCCCAAATTTTTCTACTTATATATGATAAGTTTTACTTGAATTTATGACGGGTGATCTACCATTAAAAAAAAATCAAGTAAAAGTATATTGGAACGAAAACAAATCTGGCTCCATACATTTATGAGCAAGATAGATATAATACAATTGACATTACAAAAGTAGCATAAGAAAAGGCTCCTCATGCTTGGTTTATTATAGTCACAAACCATACGGTATTGATGGGACTCTTCTGAAAAAGCCTATGATGAAGACACGTGTCCTCGGGAGTTTCTAGAACAATGTTGCTCGGGTTCAAGCACCATCGGCAAATGCGTCCTCTCCCCCGAGGTACCTCTCATATAGGATCACATATTCGGTACATTATACAATGACATGTGTCCTCGGTCACCATGTACCTCGGGAACACACCACCCCTTGGTCCCCCGAGGTGAGCCTTTCCTCGGCGCCGAGGGTCACTCCATCCTGGACGCTTCCTCTACTCCCGGATAAAGCTACTGACAAACTGGACATCAGCCTATGCCAGTATGGACTATTCATCATGACCTCTTCTTACACAAGTAATGTCAGAACGTGCTGGAATACCGACGTAACAGCCAATAAGGGATGGACGCGTGGCAAATAATGTCACATCCGAAGCAGACAAACCGCATGCCGCTACTGGCACGCGACTTGGGAAAGCAAACAATTAATTACACCCTTCTGTTGACGAGACAGACAAACCGCATGCCGCTACTGGCACGCGACTTGGGAAAGCAAACAATTAATTACACCCTTCTGTTGACGAGACCGCATTTAATGCGGTAAGGTTCGGATATGAAAGGCAATAAATGCTCCTATTACAGAACATTTATTGCATCCTTCCCGAAAAGGAGCATATTGTACCGTCGGCGTCCCGACAACTCACCATTGATTGCTCGGGACCCCGAGCAGTCAATTAGAGAAGACATTCCTCATCAAATGATTACACACGCTACCTGTGCCTGATGATCACCTACTGACCACACTGACAGCAATCATGAGCTTCTAAGGTATAAATACCCCTCCCAAAAAGGCAAACCGGTATGCAATCTCAAACTCTCAACTACAAAATATCCTTATCAGTGTTTTCTCCTTCCTCTCTCTCTCATTAAAAGACTGACTAGATCGTCGGAGGGGATACGCCGGAAAACACTCCGGCGCCCTTCTAACTTGTTCTCTTTTGTCCCAGGAAATACCTTTCGCACGTACAGGATCGTTCCTCCTTTCCCAGGATCGTAGGCTGTTTCGAGCAGTGTGTTTGGCCACTCAATCGGCTCACCCAAAGTTCACCAGGGGAGAGATCTGTTCCTAATATTTTATATATATCGTGCAGGATCAAGCCCGCACAATCTGGCGCCGTCTGTGGGAAACGAGTAGTTTTCCTAATCTTTACTCTAAAAAGAACAGTGACCATGGTGAACACCAGACAGAAAGGGAAAGGACCCCACCAACGGAGTCATGAGTTGCAAGCTCCCTGCCATCACGGAGGGAGGGATCGCACCAGTACGATTAAAAGTGCCTCTACTCGGTCAAGGGGGTAACCCCTCAAACCAGTATGGGTATCAGGTCAGGAGGATCAGCCCCCTTGGCTCGTCAGCTGGCAGAGGTGATTGAAGAGAAATTTGGCGATAGATTACGTCAGCTGGAGAAGGACAATGTAAACGTCCTTAGCCGGCTCGACGAGTTTGCTGCCTCAGGCGGAGGGTCGAGGGATTCATTCCTCTCCCGAG